GCCGCAGCAGCGGGAGGAGGAGGAGAAAGGGAGGGGAAGGGGGAGGGGAAGGGGGGCGGAGGAGAGAGCGCGGAGGGAGGCGCAAGCGCTGAGCCCAGCGCAGCGAGACCGGGCAGAGAGAGCGCTTCGTAGCTCTATCCCGCTCCAGGGCGGTCTGCAGTGCCCCGGGCTCCCCTCTGCTACCAGACCCAAGGCTCTCTCACGCTGCAGGACTCCAGGCTTCAGAAGGCGCGTTTGGGATGTGATGTCCTGCATTTCAATCAGCCCTGGTGATGCTCCCAAGTTCCAGGGCGATTTCTCCTGTCCCAAGAGTGGCAAACATCTTTTCTAGAGAGCTTCTATGGGGCCCCAGAAATGGCTTAAACTATTTTTCCTCCCCAACAAGCAAAGCCTAGGAGAGTGAATTAACTCTGTTCATAGAACTGGACCTTACAGAATTGGAGGTGGGGGCGGGGAGGGAGGAGAGTGTGAGCAAAGGTCCTCTTTCTCAAACAGAAAAAAATTGAGAATTTATGTATTCATTCAATAAATATTTGTGGCCTATTACGTGTGAGATGTGAGAATGGGCCCAGTGGAATTCTCACTAATAAAATTGTGAGGAAAAGGATGTTGTTTTCAATCTTTTATCCCTCTCTTTTAAAAATGAATCTCCTTTCTCATATGCAGTTTCTCTTTTTTACACTGGTCCAGTTGCTGGAGTCCCCAGTACTGTTCATTCACAGTTGGCGATTTGGCTTGCACCTTCTACACTAATAGGTGGAATTTCAGGAATCTGCAGAGAGAAAAAGATAGTGCTTTTCTAGCATCATCAAATCATGCCACACAGATTGCAGCTATCTCTGAAAGCTCAAACTCTAAAGTTAGGTTAACAGTTTGCTTCCATGGCAGCTGTGCCTTTTAAGAACCAAACAGCCAAACACAGTTTCACAAATGAGATTATTTTCAAATCAAAGTTGTTAAGGACTTCACTCTGCCCAGCAGCAGTAAGCAGAGGTGTGTTCAAAAATAAGAATGTGGTAGAGATCGCAGGAGCCAGGAGCTGGAGGTTGCCAGGTAAAGCCCCTCTCCTTATTCCTGGGTTACCCTTTGGATTACCCAGACCTGGTCAGCCTAGTACAAGCCATGTATTGGACAGATCAGAAAAGTTCCAGATTTCTTCCTGAACCCTGTTTGAATATAAAGCATTTGCTAATTCTATTGACGATCAATACTACCAAAGTCCTAGCAAGTTTTTCTCCTGGTCATTAATGATCTCCAAATTTTCTTTTAAAAAATGGATCTTTACTTACTTTTGCAGTGAAAAGACCTATCCAGCTGTTTCTAAATTTCACTTGAAATCATTTTACCTGTCCTCAATCCTTTCTCCAGAAAAATGAAGTTAAAAATTACCAAATTCCTATCTGTAGCCTGGATCTCTTCTTGTATATCCAACTGCTGACCTGTTACTGTATCTTCATTTAAACATCTAATGGTCATTTCTGGATCAACACATACGCTGTTCTCATCCTCCCCCAACCTACTCCCCCAACCTGCTTCTCTCTCCCAATAGAGATTTCATCTTCCTGTGTGCTCAGATACATGGCTGTGATGTCACAGTCCGTTTCTCTTTGTCTCACACATTCTGCATTCAAGCCTTTGGAAGACTGTTGGCTTCACTTTCAAAATATCTCCAGCATCAGAACATTTCTCATCACCTCCTTTTCAGCCTTCCTGATCTAAGCCACTACTATTTCCCACCTGGATTATTGTAAAAGCCTAATTGTTTTTCCTGCTTAAACCCTTGTTCCCCTGCAGGCTTTTCTCAGTAGAGGTTCATGTGAATGGAATCATACAGTAAATATTATTTTGGGTCTGGCTTGCTTCATTTAGTATAGTTTTGAGTTACATCTTTGTTAGGTGTATCAGAAGTTCATTCCCTTATATTACTGCACATAATTTCATTATGTGGATATACCCTGATTTATCTGTTCACGTATTGATATCTATATCTATATCTATATCTATATCTATCTATATATATATGTATATTTGGGTTGTGAATTAATAAAGCTGTTTGGACACTCACATAGAAATATTTTTGAGGGAATATATGTTTTCTTTCTTTTTAGATAAGTAGTTTAGGGGTGGAGTTGCTGGGTCATATGATAGAGTATGTTTAACTTTATAAGAATGTGCCAAAGTGTTCTCCAAAGTATAACATTTTACATTCCCACCAGCAATGTGTGAGATTCCATTTGCTCCACATCCTTGTAAACACTTGGTGTTGTTAGATATTTATAATATTAGCCATTCTGGTGGCTGTGTAAGAGGTATCTTACTGTGGTTTTATTTTGCATTTCTCTGATGCTATTATCCACTGATATGACTTTCTTTCAAGAGCCCATTAAAATCCTTTGTTTTTTTGTTGTTATTAGTATTAGTTTATATTATTTCTTTATTATTTTATTATTAGTAGTAGCAGTCTTTAAAAATCTTTCTGCAAGTCTTTGTCAGGTGTGTATTTTGAAATATTTTCTCCTAGTCTGTCTTGTCTTTTCAATTTGTCAATTCTATTTTGAGAGCAAATAATTTAAATTTTGCTGAAAGTTATTACATTTTTTTCTCTTATGTTTTGTTCTTTTTTTCTGTCCTATTAAGAAATCTGCTTTGGGCACACCTTTTGAGGTCTGTAAATCTCAGCTCCTGCTTTTGTAAAATGGGAAGGATAATACTCTACTTCTTAAAGTTGTTTTGAGGATAGAATGAGAAAGCTAGGGCAAATATCAAAAACGTGAATGATTGTGCTTAGATATTAGAAGGTCTGGTGTGAGGGTTATAGTAAACTTTTCCTCCTTCCTAACATAACCCTATATTGTTTAGGTTTTGTTCCCATTCCTGACACGATGGGTGTCTCTGTACTACTCTAAAGATAATGTAATTAGCAATGGCATTTGTGAGCTATTGCTTCAAGGGTAGGCCACGATGCCATTTAGGACCAATAATAACTAAAAGGAAAGATTTTTTCTTGTGAGGTGAAGGGCTTTCTTAGGCTAACAGTGGAGGGAATCAGTGAAACCCATGAAACTCATGGCCCCAACTGTTAGCTGACAGGGTAGAACAGCCTGAAGGTAAGCAAGCCAGCTTGAGCCCACTGGTGATACACACTGTATATGGCCAATAGATGGAGAGAAATCTGGGTCCCCCTCATCCCATGATACTTTTAGGGATCCACCATGGTGTTTTAATGTCTGAAAAATCAGAAGAAAAAATATCATCCTGCTTGAATTCTACTTCACTTTATACCACTGAAGCCTACACACACACACACACACACACACACACACACACACACACACACACACACACATTTTAACAAAAGAAAGAACCCAGAGGGGCAAAAGTGTCCAGGGACCATGGGAATCATCATTATGTGGCTCTGAATGTTAGACTGCTGAACCAACCAAACTTAGACCTCATTCTAACTCTGAACTTCAGTTTTGTGAGATAATATAATTTTCTTTTGTTTGAAGCCAGTTTGAGTCAGGAATTCAGCTTCTTGTAACAGAAAATGTATTCACTGATGGCTGAGGGAGTTTGCTACTTTAGGAACCCTGATCCTTTTCAAGCTTTGGGCCTGGGCCCTGTGCTTTGACAGGCCTTGAGTCATGGGAAAAACTTTAGCCTAGCTATCCTTGGGAAAGCAAAGAATTCAACTACTTCTGCTGGGAGCAGCTTCTGAGTTTAGTTTGTGTGTTACATGTGTGCATGGATTTTCAAAGATTTAAGATATGACTTCTCTCTTTAATTGTTACTGCCTTAGGGAGGCACTCTAGCTTAATATGCTTTGTTGTACAGATATTAATATATATATATATATATATATATGTAACAAAGAAAAATATCTTTTTATAATCCACTGAAAATAATTAGACCCACATGGTGTTTAATTAATTGTCATGCAGTCAACAAGTCTTGTGGTTAAAACCTAATTAACACTATTTACTGGTGTGTGGAAAAATGAAATATGTTGAAAAATGACCTCAGTAAGAAGACTGTAAAGATGGAACAGTTACATGGAGATTTATTGGGAAACCAATTCATCCTGGTTTGCATTGCACTTTTCTGTTTTTGTACTCAAAGTTGTGTGTCCTGGAAGACCTTAAAGTCCTGGGAAACTTAAGGGTTTGCTTAGTGAAAAGGTACAGTAGCAAGAAAATGCAGTTCTTGGCTGAACTTTGCTATGCTCTAGCTGGTTAATCATAGAAGTCACTGAAGCTCTTTGAGTCAGTTCTATACACATGTTGACAGCATTTATCTGCAGTTATCATACTGTATTTATCTATCATTATATCATATTTATCTGTAGTTAACACACTTTTTTTCTGTCCTTACTGATTCTTTCTTTAATAATAATGTGGAAAACCAAGTGTTAGATCTTCACTGAGTCTGTCCATTGCATGCCCATAAGTGTACACAAAAAGATTATTCCTTGGCTCTGAAATGTAGGTAAGAGGAAATGGGTACATTAGGTCAGATTCTGGGGCAGAATTATTGCCTTCTGTAGAGGTCTATTTACTTCTGTGTTCTGGTGAGACTAGGGATACAAAGGACATTATTCTCTGTTCATTTGGTGGGAAGGTAGTCCATTCTCTCTGGAATGTCAAGACTTCCATGTAATTCTTGGCTATGTGAACTTGGGAAGGTTATTTAATCTCTCTGGGCCTCAATTTTCTCATATATAAAATAGAGGATAATGATAATTCCTGTGATGTAGAGTTTTTCAAGAATTAAATGAAAGAGGTATCTCCATATTGATTTCCCTAGTGGTTGCACCACTCTGCACTCCCACCAACAATGGAGAAGTGTTCCTATCTCCCCACAACACCACCAACATTTGTTATTGGTTGACTTCTTGATTGCATCCATTCTTTCTGGAATGAGGTGAAGTCTCAGTGTTGTTTTCATCTGCATCTTATGAATGACCAGTGGCATGGAACATTTTTTTCATATATTTATTTGATGTTTTTACGTCTTTGTGTGAGAGTGTCTGTTCATTTCAGATGCCCATTTTTGAATCGGGTCTTTATATTTGGGGGTCTGATTTGTTTGAGTTCTTTATATATTCTAGATAATAGTCCTTTTTCTGAGGAGCAGCCAGTAAAAACTTTTTCCCACATTGTAGGTTGTCTCTTAGTTCTGTTGATGATTTCTTTTGCAGTGCAGAAGCTTTTTAATTAGATGAGATCCCAGTTGTTGATTCTTTGTTCTAGTTCCCATGTTACTGAGGATTTGTTCATAAAGTCTTTTCCTATGCTAATGTCTTCAAGAGTTCTGCCTAACTTACCTTACAGCAAATTTAGTGTCTGTTTTTTAATATTTAGATCTTTAATCCAGGTGGATTTTAGTTTAATGCATGGTGAAAGATAAGGGTCTAGTTTTAATCTTTGCCAAGTTGAAATCCAGGATTAGATGTTGCATTTGACCCAGCCATCCCTCTGCTGGGTGTCTTTCCAAAAGAATTAAATGAATCATACCACAGTGATATATGTGCACCAATGTTTATAGCGGCACAGTTTGTAATAGCTAAAACTTGGAAACAGCCCAATTGCCCATCAGTTGGAGAATGGATAAAGATGTGGTTTTTCTATAAAATGGAATACTACTCAGCCATAAAGAATGAGAAATTAGAGTCATTCATAGGAAAATAGATGCATATTGAGGATATACTTTTTTTCTTTTTATTGAGTTTATTGGTACATTTTAGGTATACAGTACAGTTACATTCATTATTGGGATCTTGTATCTTTACATGACAGGTCTTGGTTCTCATTTTTTCCCCTTGTCCTTGCCCTCCCTTCAAGATGATATACTCTTAAGTGAAATAAATAAGTATTTACATGTATAAATACTGAATAGTTTCTCTGGTGTGAAAAAATACAATTGTAAATAAAATCCTAATGGTATAATTGACAATGTGAAATAGGGAGAAAAGGGCTAAAGGTGTAGGGGAAGTGGGAAGGGTAGGGGAAAGGAAATATAGAAGAAGAAAAAAATCTGAGAAAATGAAAATATGGAAATAAAGTATTTGTAAAAAGGGAAGGGAGGAGGGGGTGAAGGGAGGGCAGGGCTATGAGGAAAAATTAAGAACCAAAATCTGTCATGTAAAGGTACAAGATCCCAGTGATGAATGTAACTGTACTGTATACCTAAAAAGTACCAATAAACTCAATGAGAAAAAATAATTAAGTGACAGAATATATACAAAGTTCTTTTTGCAGTTACCTACATATAACTATTGTTATTAATCTGGTGGCCTATCACTAATTGGTCTGTCTCAAATTTAGTAAATCAGATTCATTATATGATAGGTTTGAAGTTTTTTCTTTATGCTTTCATTTGGAACTATTTCTCATTTATGGGACCCTTAAAAGAAGTATGCACACTTAGTCTGAATCAGTTGAAGACTAGGTTATGGAAATGTGTGGCGCCATAAAGAACAATACCCTTAAATGAAGGTATTTTGGGAGTAAATGAGATACCTATGTTTTTGAATTTCAAAAGTTAAAA